AAAATTTAAAAATAGTTACATATTTATATAGGTTCATTCCAATAACACAGTAAGGGAAAAACTCAGCTTACTACCTCAAAATTCAACAAAATATTGCCTCTCTTGTTTCTTTTATAAATAGAACATGCTATACCGCAAAATATTACATACTTACCAACTAAATAATCCAATGTTGTGCTCCCAAATTTTGTTTCAATTTGCTTTAGTGCTCGCGACGCTGATTCGTCAGCCTTTCCTCCTTGTACACCACCATCTGTGGTTGGTTTATACACTTCTGGTGCAGCCACAACTATTGGAACTTTCTTGCCATCGATCGTTGGACAAATAACTGCTTCATTGGTTCTTTTGTTTACAGTAGCTTTATCGACTGCCATGTAAAAATGTGGAGGAAATCCAGTGCTTGGGAGGCATTTCAGCAATTCTTCTTTCGTCTTCTCGTTTATGACTTGCAGTAAACACTTGACAAGATCAGGGACTACTTTCCTGGAATGTCCACATTGCCCGATTTGAGCTCCAACAGAATATGCAAAAGTGACTTGCTGTTCATAATGTATCGCAGCTGATTTAGCCTTGACAGCTGTTAATATGCTTTTCACTAAGGTTTTAGCAGCATCATAATGTTTTTGCTTTAAATTTCTTTCTTCGTTGACAGCAGAAAGAGCTTTGAAATGTGTTTGGCCATCATTAGCACATATCATATGCCGCAAAATCGAACTTTTCAACTTTCTCCAGTAATTTCCTTCACCCTTCATTAGACTTTCCATTCTATCTGGACTCAGATATTTTCCTGTGCAAATGCTTGAGTAATCAGCAGCCAGCTTTTTGGCAGCTCTAACTGGCGTGAGCTTCACAGCCTTATCTTTGTTAAGAAAAAAGCATGTTTCACATCTCAGTATGGTGCCTGAACCATCTTCGAACCCTTCCTGGTCTGAACTGGACAAGGGATATAGTTCTAAACAATCTATTGCATTTACCAGTTCAACAATGTTTCCAACCTTTTTCCATTCTTTCATTTTAAGATACGTCTCTTTCATGTTCTCATTAAATTTATCCATCAGGAGGCCAACTGACTGTTTCAGTAGTTCCTGTATTACGTGGACCCATTGGAGGCGTGACTTGCTTCAGATTGTCGACTTTTTTACTTAGTTTTTCAATCATATGCACCATTTTCTCTTCAAATGTTTGACTGGTAACAGTGACAAAATCGGAAAGGTCCTTTTGAATCTGATTTTCGCCAGCTGTTATCGTAATGTCATCATTGTTAATATTTTCGTTAAGATTTCCTTCAGAAGCTAAGCTCTTATTGCTTTCAGTTTGTGGTAGTGCATCATTGGATACAAGATGGCATCGCAGAAGAAATTTTGTTCTTTTGAATTGTACCATTGTCATGGGTTGCTCCAGTTTTATCTTTGGTTTTAGATGACGGCTTTGGTACTGCTAATTCTCTTACATTTCGTGGAACCGATATGTGATTTATTGGTACAACATGCGATTTCATGTCTTTCAGTGAGATAGAAGAGTGGGTGACTTTTACGATGCCTTTCAACTTGGAAATCTCCCCCGCTAGTGAGAACTGCAGAGTTCCTTGCAGTTGCCGTATCATTTTTGGCACAAAGAAGACAGACATGTTTATATTTTGAATAATCCCTTTTTGGCAGTTTTGCGGTCCCTGCCGCTTTTGATCTGGGACTGCCAGTTTCTGTGCTGTGCTTGCTGGAAACAGCCACCTCATGCTCGATTACTGCACTACTTTCAGTTTCACTTAATTCACTAGTAGGGGTTTCGGAATTTGCACTAGATGTAACACCACTGGTACCTTGAAAAAATGATAGTATGTTTCTGCTTCTCAAAAGACTCAAATTTTTGGCAGGTATTTTTTTCGGAATGACTGTGGCTTCTTCATCTTCAATGTTAAAAACTCTTTTTTGTATTTGAACTTCGTTTGTTGTAGATGTCAACATATCCTCCAACTCTTCTTCGCGATCTGAATGATCTGAAAACTCAGCTTGAAATGATGCCATTTTCACTTTTCTGTTATTTCGTTTCACATTTTAGATTTTTTGTTGTAATTTATAAAGAGTTTTAAATAATGGAAAAACATTAATTATTCATTTATTCATTGTTCGATAATCTTATCTGGTCGCCATTTTGAAAAACGAGTCTCAAAGTACTGGGGCGAGATTTATATTATAATTATGCGCATATATTAAAATTAGCCTGCATTAAACGGGTTGAGCGCCGTACTATAATTAATTATATATTAAATAATAGATTCGCATTTTAAACTTTTCATTGAAAACACCGGCCAGGCCCAGTGGCCACAAAAACTGCAAAATCAAGTCCGTATAATTCTTGAAATCTTAAAATCTAAATTGTTTGTGCACCCCTGAATAACAGAAGGAAATTGTGTGCACCAAAGCGGGATTATTGGGCAAGTTGTGCGCCAATTTGTGCACCGAGAGCAGCCTTTGTGCACGGCACATGTGCCGTGCACATCGCCTTCATTCCATACTGGAATTTCAACCACTGGAAAAAATATTATCCTTGGTAATATCTATAGACCACCAAGTGGTAATTTTGAAATGTTTGAAAATAAACTGAACGAAATACTCTCAGAAGTTGACAAAACAAAAAAGATAACATATTTGATGGGAGATTTTAACATCGATCACCTGAAAACCGATAATTGTGACTATTCAAATAGATTCTGTGAGCAACTTTTTACCTCATCTTTTTTTCCACTTATTAATAGACCAACTAGAATCACCCAGCACACTGCAACCTTAATTGATAATATTTTTACCAATGACCTTGAACAGATAGAAGCTGGCATAAATGGTTTAATTTTCTCTGACATTTCAGATCATCTTCCAATTTTTCATATATCATCCTTATCAACAAATAAAAATAAATCGAAAACGGTAAAAACACGATACAAAAGAACTATCAACAACGACAGTCTCGCTTCATTTTTAGTATCTGTCAAAAATATATCATGGTCACGCACGTTTCAAACAAATGATCCTTGTGAATCCTATGACATTTTTCATAATAATTTAAAAGCAGCAATTGATAAGAATTTTCCTTTTGTAAAAATGAAAAACAAATCTTTTGATCATGAAAAAAGTCCGTGGATGACAGTTGGTGTTTTTAGGTCCATATATAAACTTTTTATAAATATAATAAAACTATATATAAAACGGCTATATAAAACTTTTTTTAAAAAACCATCTCATAGAAATGAAACAGTGTACAAAAAATACAAAAACAAACTGAATCATGTTATTAAAACTGCGAAAAAAAATTATTATGAAAACGAATTTTTGAAGTACAAAAACGATATGAAAATGACATGGCAAACTATTAACAAAGTTCTAAATAGAAATAAAACTAGAGAAAAACGTCCGGACAATTTTTTACAGAAAAATTCAAATAGGAACATTACTGATCCCATTGACATTGCTAACAAATTTAATGAATATTTTGTTAAAATTGGTCCTCAACTAGCCAAAAAAATTCCGAAGAACAACAATAAATCACATGAAAGGTACCTTAGTGGTAATTATGTCGAAAGCATGTTCTTTGAGCCTGTAACAGAACATGAATTACTGACTGAAATTAATAAAATAAATGAAAATAAAAGCGCAGGCCATGATGAAATAACCGCCAAGATGATAAAAACAATAGGTGAAGAAATTGTTAAACCTCTAACACATATTTATAATTCAACGTTTTTAACTGGAAAAATTCCAAATTTTCTAAAAATAGCTCTAGTGACTCCTATTTTCAAAGCAAATGAAAATAATCTATTTGAAAATTACAGACCAATATTGGTTTTGACATGTTTTTCAAAATTACTAGAGAAACTTATGTACAAACGACTATTTAACTATGTAGAAAAACATAACATATTATCAAATCATCAGTATGGTTTTCGAAGAAATAGATCTACAGAAGACGCCTTACTAAATCTAACCGATAAAATTTCAAAAGCTTTAGACGAAGGCAAATACACAATAGGAGTTTTCCTTGACCTTTCTAAGGCCTTTGATACCGTAAACCATGAAATTCTCTTCTCCAAACTACAACACTATGGGATCAGAGGAACATGTCTGCAGTGGTTTATGAATTATTTAAACGGAAGAACTCAAATAGTAAAAGTTAAACAGCATAGGTCATCTGAAATGAATGTTACTACAGGAGTCCCACAGGGTTCAATTCTTGGTCCATTATTATTTCTTTTATACATTAATGACATTGAGAACTGTAGTGATATTATTTCTTTTGTTTTATATGCTGATGATACAAATGCTTTCTATTCAAATTCCTGCTTGAAAACATTATCTAGTACTATACAAAATGAACTTAATAAGGTAGTTCAATGGCTCAATGCAAATAAATTATCAATCAATGCATCCCAAACAAAAATTGTCATTTTTAAGTGCAAAAATAAATCGCAGGATTCACAGATAACAATAAAAATAAATAATGATATAATTAAACAGGTGCCTTCTGTGAAGTTCTTAGGTGTCACTATTGATCAAAAGTTGACATGGACTAACCACATCAACTCAGTTTTAAAAAGCATAACTAAATCTACAGGTATGATTGCTAAATTAAGACATTATACAAATAAAAACACTTTGAAATTGATTTACTATGCAATGGTCTATCCAAATCTAGTTTGGGGTAAATACATATCCAACAAGATTACAGAATTTATTAAAGATACAAAAGAAAATTGTCCGGCTAATGTGTTTTAAATCTTAAACAGATCATTCAGAACCTTTATTTTTTAATCTTAAAATCTTGAATATCTACAAAATTAATGATCATCTTTGCAGTCTATTTATGTATCGCTGCATGAATTATGATCAAAATTTGCCAAACCTTTACAATTGTCATTTTATTCAAAATAAAGAATTGCATAATTATAATACGCGAAACTCTTCAAAATTACACGTTAGTTACAAAAGGACGAACTATCGTGTTCACTGTTTTTAACAAGGGAATTTCGATATGGAATTGTCTTGATGAAGAAATCGTATTTTTCCTTTAAGAAAAAAGCAAAATTAAATTACTTGTTAATATAAATATTGTTAGCTAAAACATGTATTATATATATTGAACCAATTTAGATTCATGTATTTTATTTTAATCAAAACAATATAGGGGCCTTATATCAAAAGTCCAACAGGATTTCAAAAGGTCCCTAGCTCCTTTATATTTTTGTATTTTAACTATATTTCCATTGTAAATATTTTTGTGAGCAAATATATTCTATTCTATTCTATTATTTTAAGTTAACTGCTTTTTGCTGATATTTATAAACTCTCAACTCGAGCTTCAACTTATTACTCTCACTTTGAAATGAAATAAATTTAATTCCTACAGGATGCTAATAAAAATAATTTGCTTTCCTTTTTATCATGAACTTCTACAATAGTTAATTTAACTAAGAAACTTTTGCAAACAATGCATACTTAATTTTTAATTTTAATAATAATTTAATGTTTAATAGGAAAGACTTGAACATCAAGAACAAAGTCTACATTAATACATAAACAAGTAAACATACTTTAGGATTTCTCATACTGTATCAATTGTTATAAATGTTTATGTTTAAAAATTGCAGAAAAGTTTTACAATTTGTTATGTGAAACGATTTTCCAAGCTTTCAATACATGTATTTTTTGCCTTTTTCACTCCTGGGAAACAGCCATATTTTGAGATCAGTGAGATGACCACCCACCAAAACATGAACAGTAACCCATGCCTGCAATCATTGATGAACTTTAGACTTTTGACATGAAAACCTCACACCTTTTTTGAGCAAGAAGGATCCAATGTTTTGTTTTGATAATATGGTGGAGCGAGTTGTAACTTCAAAACCAATGAGGGACTTCCAATCTAATGAACGTCGAAGAGTTCTTAAATTTGTCCTTAGAAGATCAAGCAAATAAGATCAACCCTTACGAAAATTTCCTATAGGAATTCCTATAGGAAATAAAATTCCTATAGGAATTCCTATAGGAATTCCTATATAAATTGAAAATTCCTATAGGAATTCCTATAGGAATTGAAAATGGTCAAAAAAATTCCTATAGGAATTCCTATAGGAATTGAAATTTCCTATAGGAATTCCTATAGGCATTGAAAATTCCTATAGGAATTCCTATAGGAATTAAAATTTCCTATTAGGAATTCCTATAGGCATTGAAAATTCCTATAGGAATCCCTATAGGAATTGAAAATGGTGAAAAAATTCCTATAGGAAAAAATATTCCTATAGGAATTCCTATAGGATTGGAAAATGGCTATAGGAATTCCTCAACATGAGCTCCAAGACGGATTTACTATATGCATAAAATGTCAAAAGCCAGCGAATTTACTAATATCATCAATTCGCGGCACCCACCGTGTGATCACTCAGTATCCTGGGACGAGTAATAAGCACATGCTAAATTTCAAGATGGCGGAAAAACAGAGCGGTGTGAATGCGTATTCCTCTGCAAAAAAGAAAAAATTGCCATCAATTGAAGACCTCATTCGACAGGGAAAGGATCATTTAGGTGAAAGAAAAAGAAAACGAAA